GGATGAAACCGCGGTAATCATCAAGGGTCAGGAATGAAAAATCTGGTGATTCATCGTGACGACTCATCTGCAAAGGCAAAGAATGCATGAAAACCATTAAAAAACATTACTTATCCGCAAACAACGGTAGTTGAAGTAAAGTATTTCTTTATTGGTAATAAGATACTGTATATCGTTTGCGGGATGCAAAGGAGACCAAATCAAACTTCTACTTTCTTATAAAATTACATGCCCGCTTAATGAGTTTTCTAACTATATAGGTGTATTTTGAAAAGGATACGAAGCAAAAGTTACAGATTATTGCATTTCATGCGTTTTTCAGTTTTCTTAAATTTTTGGTTTTTCAGAAAAATGATTTTCAAAAGTGATTGAGTTAATAGAAACGTTGGACAATGTTCAAAAATTTACAAAATGTTTGCATTATTAAAGAATGCGTGAAAACCGTTAAAAAAACATTACTTATCCGCAAACAAAGGTAGTTGAAGTAAAGTATTTCTTTATTGGTAATAAGATACTGTGTATCGTTCGCGGGATGGAAAGGAGACCAAATCAAACTTCTACTTTCTTATAAAATTACATGCGCGCTAAATGAGTTTTCTAACTATATAGGTGTATTTTGAAAAGGATACAAAGCAAAAATTACAGATTATTGCATTTCATGAGTTTTTCAGTTTTCTTAAATTTTCAGTTTTTCAGAAAAATGATTTTCAAAAGTGATTGAGTTAATAGAAACGTTGGACAATGTTCAAAAATTTACAAAATGTTTGCATTATATCAGCACGGCACCCTCAGCATCCCACCCCCTTACATGTGATGATGAAAGGAAATAAACGCATATGTTTTCAATGTATCAAACGCTTTTTATAAAACGCAGTTGAACAACTAAAACCCCCAAAAAAATCATCAGAGGCCATAGCATATCAAATAACAAATTACTCGTCAATTGCATTGCATACACAAACGACATGAAAGCATCCACCCTCTCTTCTTGTAATCCAGCTTGAAGCTCTGGAACTCAAAGTAATGCGATCATGTGGTACAACTAAAACCCCCAAAAAAATCATAGAAGGCCATAGCATATCAAATAACAAATTACTCGTCAAGCGCTGTCGAGGAGAGTCGATTAGCCATGTCCTGATATGAAAAACACGTCTTGAACGCATTCCATGTTGTATTCCTTTTCCGAAAAACTTTCTGGAACCAGAATCTGAATTTTGCGTAATTGTCAGTGTTGATCATGTTGTTCTCCAGGTACCTTCCTATGACAGTAATTGCGTGTATGTCATATGCATTGGTTAACTGTGAAAATTGAAGAAAATGTTGAATAATAACCATCGTAAAACATATTAAAAAACACGCATTTAAAAAAATGCGTGTTATTGATACACACCCATCTATAGAATGCAAAAGTTCCCACAGCCCCGTCGAATGAGAAGCATTGCTTTTTGTTTGGCATGCTTCGTATTTCATGAAGTAATGTTGCCGCCCCATCTGCATCCAACAAGTTTGTATTCTGTACTTCTTCCTCCAATACTTTATTGAAAAGTCGGGGCAGGAAACCTTCTGTATTTAAGACAAGCATGCAAAAGTTATAATACATGTATGGCTGAAATATGTGTATGTGTATACGAGTAACTAACCTTCAACTGTTATAATACTTTTTGAAGTATGACCAAAAAGGCAGTCGATCCTGAATTGGGTGAATGGGGGAGCTGCGTCGGTTTTTCTTATTCCAGGTTTTCGTACAAAACACGTCCCGTAATTCCTGATGCCCCCACTGGAATCCGCTTGAAAAACGGCTCGGACGATGAGGGAGTTATACAACCCACGGCTT